ACTACTAATAGATAAGTATTTGATTCTTGAGCAACTATAAAATTTTTTTTTTGAAAACAGATAGACAATATTAAAACATAAGCCATACAAAATCATGGTTGGTGCCAAAGGACAATACATAAAAGGCAAACAATATTTTTTCTCATTAAACCTATAACTTTTTTCATAGTTAGGTGTGACATTGAAGCACAAATAAAAAGAAAACCCCAAAATCAACCTTACCGTAACGTTTGCATGGTGAGTCCATAAACCGTATATAGGCTTTATCTAAACCTTGAATCCAAAATCTCTTATTGAAATCTATCTAGCTTTCCTTATGAAGGAAAAATTCATAAAATTCAAAATTGTCAAATATTTCGAGATGCATATGGGATCCCAAGTCACAAAGAAAACCACCAAATAAAACATGAATCAAGTATGATATTATCTAGTATAAATAGTCAATTAGTAGTTGATCGTAATAAGGAACAACCACTACCTTCAACAAAACAGGATGATCGATTTACCTCAATAGCCAACTAGGAGAACATGCAAGCCCAAGTTTACAAAAAAGATAAACACAATCAAAAGGGGTAAAGTTTTGGTTTTTGGATCATAAATCATAATCCAACGTTAGAGCCTTGATAATTGAAAGAGAATTATCAAAGAGGGAGTATAGCAAGTTAGCCTATATTTTTTACATGTACCTTAACTAACCATCGTATTGAGTCTTGTTTCGGAACATCATAACACAAAGGAAAAGATGAAATTTTTTATGAGTCCAAAATAAAGAAATTCTAAGGAAAAAGTGAAGAAACAAATCTTGTGAATTCACTTCAACCAAGGTCGCCTCACAACAAACCATCGTCCAAGCGTAAAATTCAAAAGTTGATAACCAATTCTCATTTCCAAGCACATTTGCCTAAATCACTTCATCATTTTAGATAAGATTGTCTAACGATCATTGCATTTTCTTTTTTAGGGCGGGCCACCCGACAATAAGGCTATCGTATCGTATTTTTATTTGTCATGGCAGATTGTCCATGACAATAAAGCCATCGCATTGCATTTTATTTTTTAAAGCAAGTCGTTCTTGATAACAAGGTCATTGTATTGTATTTTTATTTTTTAAGGAAGCAACCCTTGACAACAAGGCCATCACATTGTATTTTTCTTTTTTGACACGCTACTTTTAATAACAAGGCCATCGCATTGTATTTTTATTTTTTATGATAGACCACTTGATCATCCTTTGCAACAAGGCTATTGCACTCGCATTTTATTTTTTAAGATAGGGCATCCTTGACAACAAGGCCATTGCATTATATCTTTACTTTAAAAGCGAGACCACCTTTGATAATAAAGTCACCGCATTTTACTTTTCACAAGCAGGTCGCCCTTGGTAATAAGGTCATCGTATCACATCTTAATTTCACAAACCAAACCATCCACGTCAAATAAGTCATTTTTGCCAATAAATTCACCTTTATTTTGATATTTACGGACTCACTAAGTAAAGCCAATCTAAAATTTATACTTCAACTAGGATTTGTATTGTGAGTATTGTAAAAAAAGGAGCAACTCGTCATAATCCAAATTTTGGGTTATACTTTCTACCTAATTTTATCAAATTTATTTCTATCATTATTCTTATTATTTTAGTTAATTCTTTATTATTAGTTATTATTCTATTTTGTTCTTTATTTATTTCATTTTCTATTTCTTCACTTCATTTTTTAGGTATTTATAACTATTGCATGTATTCTATTTTAGTACTTATTATAAGAAAAAAAATCAAAAAAATAAAAAATGCATAAAATACAAAATTGATAGATGAATTTAATCAAGGGCATAATCAAATTAAATCAATTTAAAATTATAAGCTAATAGGGATTAAATTGAATAAAAAAAAACCAGGATGAATTAAAAGTATAATTGAAAGGAATTAGAGAATACGTTTGAAAAAAATTGGAAGTTGAGGGATTGAATTCACAAATTGCAAAAAATCAAAATTTGAGACGAGTGAACTAATGTGATTCAAAATCATTTCACCAAAAATGGTTTTGATTCTTGATTGTTTTCTAAATAATTTGATTCCCTTGACCAATTTTTCATTTGCTTCGTAATTCATGTTGTAAAAATTTGAGAGGATTAGAACATATAGGGAATAACATAATAGAAACAAAGATTTTGATCGAACGATTGACAATAAAGGGAGGAAATGGAAATTGGTTTTGTTAGTCGAAATTAGGTATAAATAAGAGTTTTCTAGGGGTCGAATAAGAAGAATCGAGAGATAAGAATGAAGAGCAGAGAGAGAGAGTATAAAGAGGGGAACTCCGGGCATTCAATTTTCTAGGTTTGCCTAAAGTTCCGGATAGTGTTCTTGAAATTCTAAGTGTTGCTTGAATTTTCTAGGTTTTTTCTTTGAACACCTAGGTTTCATTCTTCGTTCTAGGTTTGCTCTAGCATTTTGGGTTTTGAGAAACACCATAAACCATCCTTTCATTCATTTATGAGCCATTAATCATCTCAATAACAAGCCCTAGATCATTCGATCTTCATTAAATCAATCTATCAAACATCTATAAGCATTGGAATTTTTTTTATTTTGCTCTAGTGTTTTGGGTTTTAAGAAACATCGAAATTGTCCTATTCAATCGACCATGGTTCCGTAATCATCACAACAACAAGCTTTAGAATGCACAATCATTATGAAATCATTCCACCAATCATCACCCATCACCTGCAAGTAAAAGGAACTCAAAGCAATCCTACTCTACTTTTCAATCTCATTCTAACCACTCAAGCTTTCCTTAGACAATCTTAACACTCTTTGTCAATAGTTAATCAGCTCTAGTCCATGATTTATTTGAAGTAAAGGAAAACGCTAGTGACATTGTCACTACCATTGATTGAATCTAAATATTCAAATCCATCCAACTCACCTGGAAGAAGAAATTGTGAAGGGAATAGACGAGGTTTAAAAATCACTTATAATTTATTAGGATGTGAAGCCCCAATCAATGGATTGAGCTCATAAGGCAATAGTGATCTGGACATTTAGTCCAAAAGCAAAAGAAGAAAAAAAGGAAAGAAAAGAAGAGAAGGAGAAAAGTAAGAAAGAAATAAAAAAAGAGGAAGAGGGTTAGGCTCAGCTTAGCCTCGAAAACAAAAAGAAAAAGAAAATGGTCCGTGTCTAGCCTAACATAAAGGAAAAAATAAATAAGTTAGGCTGGGATTAGCCCACTCAAAAAAGAAATGAAAACAGAAAGAGGGTTGCCTTCAACCCAATCCAAGCCTAGCTCAATGGGCCAAATATCCCTTTTTTTTTCTTTCTAGAGAATCATGCCCGAATTTTTTTATACAAGTTTTGTTTTGTTTTATTTTATTTTTATACTTGGTTTAAATTTAATATATTTGAATTATTGATTTATTTATTAGCTTATTTAATAGAAATGTTTAATTATTTAGGTTTTCTTTTAAGAATTGTTGAGTCTCTTAATTTTGAAGGACCGATAATGATTCCTCACCAATAACCAAAATAACCAAAAAAAAATTTAATAAGTAAAAAAAAAGAAGGAAACATCATAATAAAAATATATAGAGAAAAATGAGAAAAATGAATATATATATATATATATATATATATATATATATATATATATATATATATATATATATATATATATATATATATATATAAGGAAAAAAGAAAAAAAGAAATTCCTAAGTAAATAAAAAGATTATAAAAATAATAATCATAGAAAATGTTAAGAAAAATTAAAAAAATCGCATATCTAATAAGGATTGATATTAGCTAAATTAAGCCACCCTAGTAATTAGGTTGTTCTCCGATATATCGATTATGTCAAAACTTAAACTAGATTCGATGTTAAATTGATATGTCTCTTGATGATAAAATCCAATAATTAGTTTAACATGATACCACAAACAAAAATAAAAACTAAATTTGGCCTAGAAAATAAAAACTTACGAGTTTGAATTGAAAATAATTTAACATAAATAAAATATTTTAGGAGATAAATTTTTAGACTAAACTAGACATGGTACATTTCTTAAGAAAACATGCTTTAAGATAATTGATATCTTCCCAAAGGCATAATCAACTCCTTATCCTAGAATCTCTTAATCGCTGCCTATTTTAGGTTTTTAGTTCCTCAAATATTAAGTGACGACTATCAAAATTAATATATAACTCACATTCCTAAATTTACAAAAAAAATAAAATTGTAATCATATTTTTAGGAGTCCCATTGAAAGTCGGGTAGCGACAATGGTTATTTAAGGGTTTCCTAAAAAAAATTTCGTCATTCTATTGTGATTGGATAATTTCGAACCCATGGTACTAACTTGTGTCATTTGAGCTCCATAGTATTGGAAATTAAAAAAAATATGATTCAAATTGCCCAATCTTCTTTATGTGTAACGATCAACTAGGTTGATCATTATTTAAAATGCCAAAATAACATCGTTTTGGCATTCCACTCGTTAATTATGTTATTTTAAAACGTATTTTAAAAATATTTTTATACCCCCTAATCTTGAATTTTTTTGATATTTTTTTCTTATAAAATATTATGATCATTTTATAAATTATATTCCAAGTAACCATTAACTCGGGTTGATCATTATACGTAAAGGAGATTGACCAATTTAGATAACATTTGCCAAATCTCTAATAATTTAAGGTTCAAATTACATGATTTGTAGGGGTGATCAAACGGTTCGGTTAATCGAAAACCGAATTAACCGAACCGAATTGTGAAATTGGGTATGGGTATAAATTAAAAAATATATAATTTATAACCGAATCAAAAAAATCGAAATAATTTCGGTTTGGTTCGGTTTTTTTTTTTAGGAAACGGTTTGAACCGAAAATCGTTTTTTTATTCCTAATTCTAATTTTGAATAACCGAATAAGATCTAAATATCTAATCATCGAACCCTAAGTCCCTAACTCGGACACTTAGTAACTCCCTCTCCGCCTCCGGCTCTCCATGTTCCTCGTCTCCCTTACCCTTAGCCGCCTCTTTCGTCTTTCCTTTCCTTTTGAGGCGGACGAAGTCACGCAGCAGCCCACCGTCGTAGCCCGAGCATTCCGACGAAGCCCGTTAGCAACGAGCAGAATCGGCCTCTCTCGTTCTCGTCTCTCGCACTCTCAACATAAGTTTTAGACTCTCGGCCTTTCACGGATCTCGCACTCTCAAAGCCTCACTCTTCTTCTCTCGTTCTTCACTCTTCACTCCAAGGTGACAGCAAGTCTTCTAGGCTCCAGCTCCAATCCTCTTTTAATCTTCCTTCGTCAAGCTTCGTGTCTTTCAAGGTTAGTCTCTTTTATTTTAATTTTTTTTGCTCGATTTGTGATAACAACAATGTATTAGGCATAGATTATGTTGTTTTTTAGATTCCTTAGTGAGCTTTGATAATTGATATGCTTTGTTCCGCACTATGGTGTTATCTTGGTTGGAAGCCCGAAGCCTTGCCTTGAAATGTTTATTGTGTCCTCGTTGGCATCCGTTTTCCTTTTTGGTTGCTTGGAGTATGTGATTCCGCACTTTATTTGCGTTAGTCTCGGTTATCAAGCTATGTTTTGGTTTTAGTCAGGGTAAGGGTGACGATTTGTTCATGTCTAACTCCTATTTTCTTTTCTCTTCTTTGTTTGTTTCGGGATTTTTCTATTTTAGCTAACATGGTTATCAAGCTTCCCATTCCGCACTTTATGTTGTTTTCTCTTTTATTGATTGTTTTCCTTTCTTTCCTTTCAAATGATTACTTGTTCTTGATGGGATTAGCACCACTAGGAGGTATTTTTCCAAGGCTAGGAGCGACTGTCCGTGTTGTGTTTGGCACGTTTTTGTGTGACTTTGAATTTACAAGAACTTGAGAGGTTGGTGATTTTGTTGAAGCCAAAGAAGGTGGTGGCAGGATCTTTGCTTGAGCTAAATTAGCCCCGGTTGAGAGAAGCGATACTAGTGCGGACATTGCGCGGATAATAGCAAAAACCGATCTCAAACGAGTTAAATTTCATTGCTTTCTTGGCTCATAACATGTCTTCTATGGAGTGAAAATGAGGACTTGGCTAGTTATGTTTGCTTACAATAGCATATATATAGAGAGACGAGAGGGAGGAAGAAAGATTTTCTCTAATATTTTTGTTTTTGCTTTTGGACTAGAAGGTTTATCTCTTCGTCCAATTCAAAATTCGTGTGTGAGGCATGTGATGGATCTTTGACTATTCGAGCTTCCAAGTTCCAAAGCAAAACCTAAACTCTGCAGATTTGGTTAGTAAGTTTGTTAGTATAATTTATCAGTCATGTGATTAAATAGTGTCATGATTGGTTAGTGAGTTTGTTAGTCTAATTTATTAGTATAATAGTGTCATGATCGATCTATTTTAGCTAACATAGATCCTCCCCTAGTAGTGCTAGTCCGGTTACCATATAGAGGGCGGGAAATGGGAAGCTTGGAAACAATCAATAAGGCAGACAAATGGATGTATGGAAATCCGGAATCGGTTGAAAGGAAAGACTAAAGAGCACGTGAGGATGTGAATGGTATCCGTTAGAGAGGGAGTTGAGTTAGTTAGCTAACATGGCAAGAGTTGGTTATGGTCTGTTAGATTGAGAGGGAAAGTTAGTTAGAAATAAACACCGTATAAATCATGAGTAATTCATTATAAAAGAGCTATTCTGTCATTTTAGATCAACATTGAATTTACTCTTCTTGCTGATTTCTCTGTTTATTACTTTATTTTTTGTTCTTCTTGGTTCTTGATTTGCATAAATAATTCTAAAATTGATAGTTGTTAAAATATTTAACTCGTTGTTAATCTCTATTTAGTCTTGAAAGAATCATTAAAACCTCGTAATTCATCATTTCATTTAGAATTTGGCATCACATAAGTAAAACTAAGCTAAATTCCTATCCACAAAGAGTCGTCCATTGTTGTTAAGCAATCTTTCTTCATTTATCTTCTCATTTTCTCTCTTTTAATCACATACATATAACCGAAAATTGGATAGATGAAATGAATGCTTAAAATTTCTACATAATTAAATTAGTAGAGTTTAATTATTGAATGAATTCAAAAAAAAATGAACATACTTTTTCATATACCCGTGCAATTTTAATAGCATTTGTTTGGTGTATGAAAGGTATTAAGCTATTTATTTTAGGGTTAGACTACTTTTTTGTTTGCTACTAATTTAGGGGAGGATCTCCTAGAATTCTACCCAACTTTGGTATCTGTCTAAGTGTCTACCTGTCTTCACTCTTCGGTATGGACGAGTTGGACACACCTTTTGTTAAGGCACCTTTTGTTAAGGCGAGAGGTAGTAGCATCCGCCTTTATTTGATTTTAGGGTTAGACTACTTTTTGGTTTGTTACTGATTTAGGGGAGGATCTTCTAGAATTCTACCCAACTTTGCTATCGTCTAAGTGTCTAACTGTCTTCACTCTTCGGTATGGATAGTTAGATACACCTTTTGTTAAGGCAGAGGCAGTAGCATCCGCCTATATTTGATTTTAGGGTTAGACTACTTTTTGGTTTGCTACTGATTTAGGGGAGGATCTTCTAGAATTCTACCCAATTTTGCTACTGTCTAAGTGTCTAACTGTCTTCACTCTTCGGTATGGATAGTTGGATACACCTTTTGTTAAGGCAGAGGCAGCAGCATCCGCCTATATTTGATTTTAGGGTTAGACTACTTTTTTGTGGTTATCAACGAGTAGGCGGTTCCATTCCATATTATGCTACCAACTTGGCAACTTATGTATATTTATTATGTTTTTTTGATTATTTAAGAGTGTGAAGCTTAATACTCTTGTTCCTTTGTTATTTATGTAGATGTCACAATCTTAATCCGAAGAGATGAATTATGAACATATGAGTTCAAGCAATCCCAATACACAATCAAGTGTAGGCGTAGGTTCAACTTCAATTAACAACACGAAGATGTCAAAGGAAAGAAGAGGAAATCAATAAAGCCAAGATCAATGGTGTGGGACCATTTCACAAAGTTTGAAGATGACAATAAAGACATGAAGGCTAAATGCAACTATTGTGCTAAGGTATTTGCTTGTAATCCTTCAAAAAATGGGACAACCTCACTTAGGTCTCATATTTTGACTTGTAAAAAAAACCTTTTTAGTTGTATTGACTCTACACAAACTCAATTAGACCTTAGAAGGCTTGAAGTGGGAGAAAATAGTCTTAGCACACGGAAGTTTGATCAAATTGTTAGTAGAAAAGATTTAGCTGAAATGATCATTCTAGATGAACTTCCATTTAAGCATATAGAGGGTAGGGGATTCAAATTTTTTTTGTCTAATTTGCAACCTAGATTCAAACTTCCATCTCGTTTTACGATTTCAAGAGATTGCTATCAACTTTATTTAGATGAGAAAATAAAGTTGAAGCAATTTTTGAAACAAAATAGTCAAAGAATTAGCCTCACTATGGACACATGGACATCTATTCAAAGAATCAATTACATGTGTTTAATCGCTCATTTTATTGATAATGATTGAAAGTTGCATAAAAAGATCTTGAATTTTTATCCGATTGATAGTCATAAAGGAGTAGATTTAGGTATTGCCATTGAGAAGTGCTTGATTAATTGGGGAATTGAGAAGGTTTTTAGTGTTACGATTGATAATGCAAGTTCGAATGATGTGGCAATTAGACACTTAAAAGATGTCATTAAGAATTGGGGTTATAACATCTTAGATGGAGAATTCATTCATATGAGGTGTATGCCACATACTTTGAATCTAGTTGTTGCTGATGAGTTAAAACATTTTAATCCTTCGATCGTTCGTATTCGATCGACTGTTAGGTTTGTGAGGCAATCTCCAGCTAGGTTGAGAAGATTTAAGGAATGCATTCAACTTGAGAAAATTGATTCTAAGAGTTTGTTACAACTAGATGTCGCAACTAGGTGGAATTCGACATATTTGATGTTAGAGTCGGCTCTAAAGTTTGAGAGAGCTTTTAAGAGATATGAGCAAATTGATCCTTTATATAGGAGTGAATTTGATGTAGATCTTGGTGATAATGTTGTTGGGCCACCTAACGTGGATGATTGGAAGACTTGTAAGAAGATGGTGGGCATATTGAAAATTTTTTACAACGTTACTTTGCGCATTTCGGGTTCCTTGTATATGACTTCAAATTGTTTTTTTGAAGAGATTTATGCGCTTGAACATGTTTTCAAAAAATGGCAACAAAGTGAGGATTTGGATGATTTTGCATTGGCTAATAAAATGAAGGAAAAGTTTGAGAAGTATTGGGGGGATATTAAGAAAATGAATAAGTTGATTTATATTGCGACAATACTTGATCTTAGGCATAAACTTGTATTTATTGAATTTTCAATCAAGGAATTGTATGGTGATTTAGAGGGTCAAAATATGTCAAATATTATGAAGGGATCTATAAATGCCATGTATGATTTATATTGTCGTTCATCATCTCAAGATGAAATTGGCCAAACTAGTGAGAGTTGGGGAATAGATGTGGATTATGCAAATAAGTAAATGATTGATGAAGAAGAAAATAGAATAAAAAAGGAGATAATGATGCGTTTTGAAAAATATAAGTATGATATTGGAAATAGAGGAAATAAAATGGAGTTGGACAAATATCTTGATGAAAGTGCTAAAAATAATAGTGCTGATTTCAAGATTTTAGAGTGGTGGAAAACCAATGCTCTTCGGTTTCCCATCCTTTCACAAATGGCTAGGGATGTATTAGCGGTTCCTGTTTCTACAGTCTCCTCGGAATCGACATTTAGCACCGGAGGAAGAGTTCTTGACTCGCTTTAGGAGTTCTTTAACTCCTACCTTAGTGGAATCTCTTATATGTGCTCAAGATTGGATTAAAAATTCATCGATGCCAATTATTATTGAAGAAAATTTACAAGATGTAGAGAAAATATAAAATGGTAATTTCTATAACTCTTATCATTTAATTTGTTATTTCTTTCATATATATTAATGATAAAGGGTTAATTTTTTTATCTTTTATTTTTCAGAATTACTAATTGCCGGTGCCACTAACTCCACTACAAATGTTTGATGGGTTGATTACTCGATAGTGTTTTGGCTTTTTGAATGATATGTGTAAGTTATTAAGTTTTTAAGTTTGATTTTTTTATTTCGTTACTTATGCATGGTTGGATGTTTGACTTACACTCGGTCAATGCTACCGGCCTACTACCTACCGACCTTGAATTAAATTTTCATTACACATATCGAGGCTGTCCAAGTGTCCATTGGATGTCTAACGTTGTCTAAGGCTCCAGTGCCGACCGATCGTTGAAGGAGGCTCGAGGGCTCAAGGTTGTCCAAGGTTACAAGCAAGACTCTTTATTGTGGGTAATTTTCTTTATGGTTTTTGGATGTGTAATAATTTCTAATCTAGATTTTGGTATGTAAGTATGTTGTATTGTTGATGAATCTTTCTTACTTTTTTCTTTTTTTACGTTCTTTGAGGTGTTGGATCGTTGGTAGTCAAAGACTCAAAGTCTAAGTAAGAATGTTGAATGTTGAATGTTGAATGTTGCTTTCCATATTTCCATATTTGTTGAATGTTGTATGATTTGTATATGTCAATATTTGCCTATTTGGTGCTTCGATGTGTCCGGTTGATTAGTTACGCTTAATGCCGTCTCGCCTTCCGGTGTTTCTATCTACTTCCTTCGATTGCTACGTGTCTATGTCCGCTTCGCTAGTGCCTTCGGTTGCTTCGCGTCCGGTTTGGTGAGTCTAGTGCATTTTTTTTATTCTTAAGTTTATTGATTTTAGATGAGTTGTTTATTTTTCTTGCAATTTTAGACTTTAATTTGTTGTTTGTTGGGTGATTAGGATTGGTTCTATTATACGGGCAATGTTGATATTTGTCATGATGGTTGATGGTGGCCAATTAGCCAATCACATATTAGCCTTGTGGTTGTTTCTTTATATGAATGGTCAATAACCTTACCGAAAGCGACTCATGCCTCTCGTTAGTGGCGAGTTGATAGTAAATTGAAACTCGTGGCTTCACTTTCTATAATGTATTTATTTGCATGTATGTGATTTTTCGGATGTTGTGGGCTGAAGATGACACTTTAGCAATAAAGGAAACCATCAAGCGAGTGATTAATCGGTTGAGGGACTTTAAGAGCGAGTTAGCATCCAATTTATGGTCATCAATCCCGTTATCCTTGGAACCTTCTCGTCGAATGTTTTGGAACTTTCATTGTCATCTTAGTTTATAAATGACTTGCAAACCATTTTAGGATGTACTATTACATTTTTTAATAGTAAATTAGTTTCTAATACCATTAAAATAAAAATCTTTCACGAGAATAAAAGTTTGGTTATAACTGAATTATTTCGATACCGAACCAAAATAATTCGGTTACAAACCAAATTAATCAAATTTAGTTTGGTTCGGTTTCGATTTTCATTTTTTCTAATTCGGTTAACCGAAAACCGAACCCAATTAAGCTTAATCGAACCGTTTAACCGTTTGCTCACCCCTAATGATTTGATACTATAAGTTCAAAATTGTCAAATCACAATAGACTATGGGCAAAACTTACTATTAAACTATTATCTAAGCCTAAGATCTAGTGGTAGAGATGAAGGGTTAAAGCTAGAGTGATATAGATTGACTTGTGGCTTTTTTTTGCTTTGTTTTTTTAATCTAGAGTGATATAGATTGCGTAATCGTTATTCATCTTCAATCATTTTTCCTAATTGGTATATTAGGAACTCTAGGTTGGAATGGATATGTCAAGCTAAATACCACTACTCAATCTAATTTTCATTTGAAGAGAAAAACATGATGTAGTTCGAATTCTATTTTATTTAAATAATTAAATTGATCGACTCTTACGTATATTTAGATAAATTACTAAATTATATTTTTGTAATTTATCATCTTTTTATTTTTATAATACGACCAAAATTTGAATTGACTCGCAAAATACTTATCATAATTAGTCTAGAAAAATCGAACTTATTTTTTTTACTAGATTCAACAAAATATAGAAAGTGGACACTTTTGATGCTCCAATACCCACCACTCAATTCATCTTAATCCAAACCATTAGACAATATTATTTTTGTTTTGCATTCTTATACCTTGTTAAATCAAAAAATTATTACACTTTATTTCATAACATAATTTTTATTATACACGTACATTAAAAAGTATTATAGATAAAAGAACCTCAACCCATTTTAAGAATATAAAAAAGCCAAAGAGAGTTTAAATTTATACAACTACCCTAAGTGAAATTATCGATTTTTTTTAGCATTAATTTGATGAACTTATGATCAATGATCATTGTTGTTGCTCTTGATATGGTAAATTATTTTGAACACATTGTAATTTGATGGCCAAAACACTTTACACTCTTATTTTAAAAAAAATTGCATTTTACATCTTATTTTTCTTACAACGAATTTTAAAGCTACTACATTATGAAATGACAACAATGCCCTCATATATATATAATTATACCTTACATGCTAGTTGTGTATAATCCATTCCATTGCCAAATTATGTTTCTCTCTCATGTTCTTCTCTCTCTCTCTCTCTCTCTCTCTCTCTC